GGTAGCTCGTTGAAATTCTTCTTTTAAATCACGCGCTGAACCTTCCAGATTCTCGATTTACATTCGAGCGATCAATTCATAAGGGAACGATGAGAATTATTCAAGGAGGTCGAAAAAAATCGAACCTTCCAGAATTTTTATTTACATTCGAGCGATTAATTCATAAGAGAACGATGAGAAAATATTCAAGGAGGTCGAAAAAAATCGAACCTTCCAGATTTTCGATTTACATTCGAATGATCAATTCATAAGGAAACGATGAGAAAATATTCAAGGTCGAAAAAAATCGAACCTTCCAGATTCTCGATTTACATTCGAATGATCAATTCATATGGGAACGATGAAAAAATATTCAAGGAGGTCGAAAAAAATCGAACCTTCCAGATTTTCGATTTACATTCGAATGATCAATTCATAAGGAAACGATGAGAAAATATTCAAAGAGGTCGAAAAAAATCGAACCTTCCAGATTTTCGATTTACGTTCGAGCGATCAATTCATAAGGGAACGATGAGAAAATATATTCAAAGAGGTCGAATAAAATCGACGGAAATTTTGGACGGATATCAGGACATCGATGTCGTTTATCGGGGCTCCCTGCTTTCCTAGACGAAGGACCTGCTTTTCCCAGGCACGAATCGCGGGTCCTCATTAACGATAAAACTCGACGATTCTTCGAGATTCTTTCACGATCGCGTGCGGCGTAATTTCCACATTTTCATCGTCACGAGTTCCTTCGATCAAACTCGGCAGCTCGTCGAAATTCTTCTTATAAATCGCTCGCTGAACCTTAAAAATTCTCGATTTACGTTCGAGCGATCAATTTATAAGGGAACGATGAGAAAATATTCAAGGAGGTCAAAAAAAGTCGAACCTTCCAAATTTTCGATTTACGTTCGAACGATCAATTCATAAGGGAACGATAAAAATATATTCAAGGAGGTCGAAAAAATCGAACCTTCCAGATTTTCGATTTACATTCGAATGATCAATTCATAAGGAAACGATGAGAAAATAATCAAGGAGGTCAAAAAAAGTCAAACCTTCCAGATTTTCGATTTACGTTCGAACGATCAATTCATAAGGGAACAATAAGAAAATATTCAAGGAGGTCGAAAAAAAATTAACGGAAATTTTGGGCGGATATCAGGACATCGATATCGTTTATCGGGGCGCCCTGCTTTCCTGAACGAAGGACCTGCTTTTCCCTAGGCACGAATCGCGGGTCCTCATTCGGGGTCTTTGTTCCTCCGAATCCAAGACGCGACACCTGAAACCATTGATCCTGCACCACTCGAGTGCCGTGCGGGTTCCCCCACCCCCACCCACCCACCCACCCCTCTTATCGCGCACTCTCGAGAACGCAGTTTTCCAAGGCTCAAGGAGACTGGCGAAGGGATCGGACGAGCTGAAATTTGGAAATCGGAACTGGAAACTCGTATCCGAGAGCCACCGCCTGCGGTTAACGCTACAGGCTCGAACATATCGGATGTGTGAGCAACTTTCACTCCCAACTTTCCTTCACGACGGATAAGGAACAAGAATTTTCAATTATTTCCACCCAAAGATAACGCTCACCTATGTGCACTCCCCAATTTCCTCAATGACCGATAAAAAGGAAAACAACAAGAATTTCCCATTTTTTTTTTCCACCTAAGCCCAACGCTCATCTGAATACCCTCACCCTGGTTATCTCGACGACCGATAAGAAACAAGAATATTAAATGTTCTCCACCTAAGTACAACGCTGACTTGAGTACAATTACACTAATTTCCTCATTGACCGATAAAAGAGCGATTATTTGCAATTTTATTTTTTCTTTCACCTAAGTACAACGCTCACCTGAGTATCCTCACTCTAATTACCTAACCAATACGAAACAAGAATTTTGAATACCTTCCACCAAAGTATAACAGGTATTAAAAGATCGTTGTCTTTTCATACAGAAAGAACGAGTGTTAAAGGACACTTCATTTCCAGCAAGTATAACTAACGTTTATATGGAATATGGAGATTAGCGAGAAGATTGAAAAGGCAAATCTCTAAAATAAACAGTGGACGCGAGTCGGCACCGGAGAGAGAGGTGACACCGACTTCGTTCGCTTTTAAAGCGTTAATGGGACCAGCAATTGAAACCGCAAAGTACAGGAGAAGAGGGAGGGTAAAAAAAGGAAGGGAGAAAGAATTAGCCATGTGCCGTGGAGGGCGAAAGTCTGTTCGGACGGTTCGGAGGGCGGCACGACGAGCGTAATTTCTCCTGCGTCTCGTATCTAGGCTTGCCGCGGAACGAAGTAGAATTTCCGCGACTCGGGCAGGCAAAAAGGGGCAAGTCTCCCCTGTATACACGGGTCGAGAGACTTCTCTTAGCGGCGGTATTATTTTTTTACTCTCTACAGAGGGGGGGGGGAGGAGGAGGAAGAGGAGGAGGAAAAGAGATCCAGACGAACGCAAGGCTCGAGGAGACCTCGAGGGTGCTTTAAACCGGGTTAAGTCCGTCGAATCTTAACCTTTGACACGAGTCCTCGGACTATGTAATCGAGCGTGCACATCCGAGTGCGGCTCTCTCCTATGACTAAATTCTAATTAAGCCGCGAGTTCGGCCACTTACGTCTCAATCGAATCGCTAATTACTTCCTTACCCAAGAGTGTCGATAAATAAGAAAGAAAGAAAACAAAAAGAAAAAAGCCGTGCCGTCCTCACCCGAGCCTAAAATGGGTGTCCGGAATAAATCATGAAATTAACAGATCGCAGGATATAAAGTCACCGATTTTTCCGTCCTTACCGATACCATTCGCAACCCATATTAGATCTAATAAGTGAAGTATAAATCCCACGGTACTTAAACCTGGAGAATCATTTCGCTTTGTTCGGTTGAAATATTTTTGTCATTGTTGTATGGGTATTCCTATCGATCCATGATGGAATTAGTTCGAACTAATTGCGGTCGTTAGGTTCACTGCACGCTGCAAAACGCGCCTCGAATGGGGTTTTAGGGTCCCGTCGTTATCGTCATCTAAATGGGTTGCCGATGGAGCTCGTTTCCGCGATGTTACGTCAATCGAATCGCGATTTCCCCGATTTCGTGCGAGCGCGGTAAACGAGGGAGCATCGACAAAACTTGGCGAACGCGCTAAAGAGTATCGTTTCCCCGAGATGTTTCCAAGGACCCCGCCAACGATTCGAGGGAGCGATCGTTAATGGGTTGCCGAAGTAGACTGACGTAAAAGGAAAGGCGATTCGGCGATGATAACGACAGGTGCAGCTGCGAGTGATTCATCGTCGCGGCAGGAAGGGGTTGCGGTCGTTCGAGAGGGTATCGGATATTTGGAGTCTGGTCGATCGGTGATGGGGGTTGAAACCTCCCCCCATAACTTCCCTCTTTCCATCCCTCGTTTACAATTCAAATCTAAAAGAGAGACAACCAAAACGATTAAATCGCAAAAACCCACCGTCCATTTACTTCGATATACGGACGAAGGCCCAATTCTTCCGGTTGATCTCTTAGTTCCTTCTCAACCAAACGATCGAAAGAACCTCGCCAACGCGTCTTCTTACCTCTGGATTTATGGATTTTTCGTTGGTTTGGTTAAAAAAAAAGAAAAAGAAAAAAACAACCGCACGCACCGATTTATGGATTTTTCGTTGGTTTGGTTAAAAAAAAAAAGAAAAAGAAAAAAACAACCGCACGTAAGTACCCGTGTCTCGACTAAGCACGCAGAGGGGCTAGGGTTCCGCGGCGTGACGTCATCGTCGACTCTCGCCCCCCGAAAAATGGGAAAAGGGGGTGGAATCGCCGTACGACGAGTCCGCGAGCGATCCCTAATTCGAGGGATTCCAGGGCTTAACGGATCGACGGTTTAATTTGGGCCGGAGGAACGACGCGGGGGGGCGTCGAGGGTAGCCGCGAATTCCACCCCGCGCCGTCCAGCGCGAGGGATCGATCGAGGAATCGGCCGGAGAAGTCGGACAGAGGGAATAATAAGGGGTGAACGCTTCGCTTCGGAGACTCGACCGGGCGAGTCGGGGCCGGACGGAAGTCGGGACGGCTCGAGTGACGGCGGGGTGGATAGCCGTGACGCGTCGTGCCGCGGGGGTTGCGGCCTCGAGGGAACACCCAATGCCCTCCGAGGGCTGGCGTCGCGGTTTTTCAAGACTGGAAATAAGAGGGAGTCTTCTTCGGCCGTCCCGGTCGTCCCCGAGGCGCAGCGTGTCCCCTGGGGGGCGCCACTCGAGAAGCGGAATCGATCCGACACGCGTCAGCGTATCTCTTGGCTCGGAAGAGCACCCCGAGCCTCGGGGCTCTCCTCCCCACCGGCCGAAGGGGCTCCTCCGAGCTCCAGGGTTTACCTTGTCGGTGTGCGTCTAAGGCATCCACCGGTCACTGGGTTAAGGCACGAGACACTGTACGACGGGTCCGAAGACGCCGCGATCTCCCGGAAGCCGCGAGCGAGTCGCGCACGAGTGTTCGGAGGGTGGCCGGTCACTGAGCGGGCGGATGGCGCTCGCGTTGCGCGCGACACCCCGACGCTCCTCCAACCTTCGTCGTGCACTTCGCACTACCCGAGGCCGGTCGAACACTGACGAGACTGCTCGGCAGCGCTCGGCAATGCTCGGCTAGACTCGGCCGCGCTCGGCGGCAGGCCAACCCCGTTGGCGCACCGCGGCGACCTCTGGGGCTCGTCGCTCGATCGAGATATCGACCGCGACTCGAATGTCGCGGCTCGCGTCGATTATTCGAGATCACCCAAGGCAACCTTCGCGCCATCTGACGAGGAAATCTTGTAACGTTACATTCGACATAAAGGTGAGCTGCCTTTTGAAATGTATACCCGAAGAGAGGATAATAAAAGTGAATGTACTTCGCATGGTAGAGGTTAGATGGCGATGAAGGGCATTTACGTTTTTACGTGTCTTCGGCAGATGGTGCAGGACGTAATATCCACTACGCTAGTGAAACGTGACGGTGCATCACTGTAATGCATATAAACGCAGCTTATCCCCATTAGCATTCTTCAGCATTCTTCTCAATTATATTGAATTATATTTTGAAGTGGTATCAACCATGCCAAATTCTATTTAAATACAATTTTTTACTCTGTTTTGTACGTTTCAATGGTATTTCGTTATATATTTAGCAATTAAGAAAACGTTCTACTAAGAAGGAAAAACACAATTGGTGGAGAATTTGACGTAAGTGTACCATGAATTTTTTACAGATCTTTTCCATGATATAACCTCAAATAGAATTGATTTGATTGTGAATATAACTTATCGTATACTTTTAATACTTAACAGGTTTCTAAAAATGGTTTGCGAAAAATGCGAGAAGAAACTGGGAAAAGTGATAACACCGGACCCATGGAAATCTGGAGCCAGAAACACGGTGGAAAGCGGTGGACGCAAAGTGGGTGAAAATAAAGCTCTGTCTGCTGCAAAAAATCGATTCAATCCATACACTGCAAAATTTGAGTGCTGTAGAATATGCAGGCAAAAGGTACATCAAGTTGGGTCTCACTATTGTCAATCGTGTGCGTATAAAAAGGCCATATGTGCGATGTGTGGTAAAAAGCTAATGAACACAAAGAATTATAAACAATCGGCCACCTAAACGAAACGATTACAAAGTAAGAGGATAATTACGAAATTAATGTACAGTAATTAATATTTTTTCATGTATATAGCATAACTGTAATATCCATACCAAGGCACTGCTCTTTTTTGTGTAGTCCTACATTTGCCTTGTCGTTAATCATGGTATATCATTTACGACATCGAACATATCGCAATGCATTAAGAATGGTAAACAATAAGATTTATTGTTCTGTACTGCAAACGACTGTCTTTTTTAGTAGTGTATAATAATGACGATACAAAATAAAATATACAATATCAAATAATATTATTAAATAACGGCTCTTGTATTAAGTAAGAACGTGTCTACGCTTTGATTTTCTTAGTAATTCTACATAAACCTTCCATACAAAACAGCGCCTCCTGCGCTAATTAAACATGAATGTGGAATTGTTAATTTCTGAAGTCAATAAATAATAATCACTTCTGAAAAAACAGGTCTTTCGTCAAACGGTATCGAGTCATTAATAATAAATTAACGGATAGCGGTTAACTAACGAAATCGCACATTCAGAAATTCCCAATCCTACCATTCGCTTTTAACAGTCCACGCTTAAACATTTCAAAACTGTCAAACAACGATTTTCGCTTACGAGTAAGCTTACATCCGATAAAAAAATATATATTTCTGTGGCACCCACGTTACGACTAAAAATATACACGGCTCTATTCGTTTGATATAATGATTTTTTTTCTTTCCTGTCGCGTTTGTAAAATTTACGGGAACATCGGCCAGGTTCAATCGATCATTTCAATCCCTTTAGCCCAAGTGCTAAATACCTCGCAAGCTTCAAAAATACAGCTTATGGGCTAATTGAACCTAAGTGCCTAATCGTGTAAATCCGATAAGTACTACAAAAGCGCGTCGCCTTTAATGGTCCCCAATTACGTACGACGCATACCGTACGTCGGACTTACGCTAAAACGTTCAGGTATGTTTACAATATTATTTAGAACATATACCGGTAGCTTTCAACGGTGGCTCGGATACTCGCAGAAGCGACACTTTAGAAATCTCCGATTAGACCCACATATACCGCGCGTGGCCTGAAAAACGGATCTGCAGGACATCGACGAGAGAGTACCGTAAAGAGCGAAACCCGTTAACCAGAAGTCGCACTCGAGAGGTCACTCGAATTAATTCGCGCTTTCAGCGACTCGTCGATGCCATCGCTTATCGGCCATAGAAACGATCACCTGAAATCGACACACACGTTACATGCAACGACGGACACGGATTTCAGGTGATATGAAAGGGTCATTCTATATATATATATAAACGTCAAAATATTTATAAAACTTTTCTCCAAACTGGATGCACCGAATCGTTGGAAACTTCCTCGCGTGATCACGGAGGCCTGAAGGAAGAACGCGATGCTCATGAAATTTCATTTCTAACGACACATTTTTATTTCATCTACCCCAGACTAGAATCAAGAATCCAAATTTGTTATTTAATGAAATTTCATGGGCACTACGTTATTCCTTATGGTCTTAATAATCACGTGCCGAAGTTTCAAACGATTCGGTGCATCCAGTCTGGAGAAAAGTTTTATAAATATCTTTACATTCTATATATATTGTGTAATGAAAATATTGATGAAGCTTTTCTCCAAACTGGATGCACCGAATTATCTGAAACATTAACACGTGATTATGGAAGCCCTAAGGAAGAACGCAATGCTCGTGAAATGTGATTTTTCGAAAAAAAAAAAATGTCCTTTTTGTTTGAGTTCTTGTCCGACATAAATAAAAATGTTTTTTCAAAAAATGAAACTCCACGAGCACCGCGTTCTAACTTGGGGCCTCCATAATCTCGTGAAGTTTCAAATGATTCAGTGCACCCAGTTTGGAGAAAAATCTTATAGATCTTTTGACATTTTGGCATCTATAAATGACACTTTCATAACGCCTTAACTACTCGGCCGATATTGTTCGCGCGTTAGTCAACTACCGTAAATGTAGGAATGTTAATGCTGATTTAACGCGTACTTCGATATCTACGCTAAAACCTACGATATACTGAGCTACAGATCTCGGTAGTTACGGAGCCCTCGGTGTTCGCACAACGGGCGTGTTAATTTTATTAGACGCTCCAGTCCCGTGCGTGCAAGGAGCAATCGGAATTAATATAACATTGACGCGTTCGAGCGACTCGCCATCTTGGACCTTTGTCAAGCCGTCGACGCGGAGTGGCTCGCGAGCGCTCGCTAAGACCCAGGCCAATATGTACAGAGAACTCTATGTAGTCCCTCGATTATACTTTACAATCGTTCCCTCCTCTCTATTCGCATTTTCAGCGCATTCGGAGCACCTAGAACCCGCGCGCGCAGAATCCTTCGCGACGCGACTATTTATTATTTTACATCGTACAATGCAGGAGCGATGCGACGAGTCGAAGTACACTTCATCGACTCGACTTACTCGAATTCGAAGAAATCGCCAGCTCGAGTCTTGAACTCGAGCCGACGATCCAACGGAAAGAGAAACGCGTCCGCATAAATTTGGCGCGACTACTCGAGCGAATTGGCGAGTGAAGGACTCTTCGGACTATCCGACACGAATCGGTTCGAAATGCCGTAACATTTGTTTCAACGGCACCGTTCAGCCTATCCAACCTACGAACAGTTCGAACAATGCGAAGTGACAATCAAAACACACCACGCAACGTATTACCGAATTAACCCTTTCGCTACGACGGGTGACTATAGTCACCGTACGTTTGGTCCAATATTGCCTGCACGGTCAGACGAATTTCGCCCGTATGTCGAAAAGGCTCCGTATTCGAAGGGTTAACGCCGGTACGTAGTCGGGACCGACACATGTCGGGCACCGCGAATGGACCTTAACTCTTATCCGCGCCAATATCTCGAGTTAAAATAAAAATGACTCGAATTATCCAGTTAAGATGTTCAACTCGTCACACCGGACAATGAAGTAACCGCCACATCGATCGTTAGTCTTTATGGCACGTAGCATCGCTAACTACCCAAGCGCGTCTACGGTCTACGGTCTACGGTCTACAGTTCAATTTTCCATAGGGGCCGAGTATTAAAGGAAACGGTTAAACATAAGACACTCGATTTCGCAACAGTCGACCCATGGAAAACCCGTGACAAATTCCTTCCCCTCTAAGTGGGAGAGTGCGTGCAAGTTCCGCGGGAGCTACGTCTCATTTTCTCGTCCATTCTCGCAGGTGCGCTACTGGCGAACGATGCGCTCGTCCCCGGAGGAGAGGACGATGTTGGTCACCGGTTGCGGCTGGCTGGACCCGTTGCCCCATGGATTTTGCTCCTTGTTGTCCCCCAGGAAGATCCACTGCTCGAACTTTTTGCCAACCGCGCCTACGGACTGCTTGTTCGCCTCTGCCGAGCCGCTCTCCCCCTGGGAGTCCTTGCCAGGTGATTTGTACTCCGACACGTAGACTACCTGTCGGTCGGTCTCGTCTCTCACCCTGGAGGCGTCGGTCCTCCTGGGAGGCACCGGGGGCTTCTTGCTGGCCGGAGGTTTGCCGTTCGACGTGGCGTCCTTCCTGGGTTTTCGAGGCTCTCCGTTGCCCTCCATGATGGCGATGATCTCCTCGCTCTCGCTGTCCGGCTCGTGCACGTCCTCTCGACTGGTCGACACCTTGATCTCCGTGACGTAGGTCATCCTCTGGGGGGTGCCACTCAACGGCATTGGTGTGCTGGGCAAAGGAGGCCTCGACTCCAAGTCCTGCCTCGACGTCGCGACGCCCGGCTCCCTCGCGACTCCGCTGTCCTCGCTGTTCTCCCCGCTGGACACGCTGACGTTGCTAACGTTTCGTCTATCGTCAGAACTTAAGGATAAATTCTTGCTGTTCACCGTGACGCCCGAACCGAACTCGTACCCATCGTCGTCGTCTTCCTCTTCCTCCTCCTCTTCACCCTCTACGCCGCCACGCGCGTTCTCCTTGTTCGAGGCGTTGACGATCCTCCTCGCGAAGTGTGTCTCGTAAGACGAGTTCTCGACGGAAGGTGGTCTCGGGTAATTGGAGGTCGTCAGGTTCTCTCTGGGACTCCCGGTCTCGAATCTGGTCTTGCGAGTCTGGAAGCTCGAATTGGAGCCGCCCTCGCTCTTTGGGGTCGAGGCCACCACGACTTCGGATTCCAGAGACCGAATCGTCATCGCCTCCGGCCTCGAAGAGGGCATTCGCGAACGAGGAGTCTCCGAGTCGACGTCCCCGTCTCGCTTCTTCGACAAATATGAGCCCTTCGCATCGTCAACGACTCGTCGCTCCGCATCGATGATGCCCTTCAAGGGATCGCTACGTTTGCTACAGCCAATGCCGTGTCTACTAGACCTCTGCTCGCACCCTGGACAGCTTATATCCAAGATGATCTTCCTCATAGGTTCTTCAAGGACCTCCGTTTTTCCCGCGTAGACAGAGACCTCTTTCTTCGACATCCTCTCCGCGTCACCGGGCGCGCTCGAGAGGTCGACCTTGACGTCGCTGGAGACGGGTGCTTCGGGAATATGCGAGTCCAGGAAATGCAAAGCCTTGTCGAACCTCTCCTCCACCACTGGCGCGTCGTCCTTGATGCCCTCGTCCTCGTCGTCCGGTGGAGGCCTCGCCTGGCGGAAGTCCAGCTCGACCTCTTCAGGGGTGGGGCTGTGAACGACTCCACCGTCGTTAACTATTCTCGCCAGGGAATTATCTATATCAGGGTTGAAAGCCCTCTCGGAATGAACGAATTCCTGCGTCAACCTTTTACTCAGCGGTAGGTTGTAGAGCTCGATGCTGGTCTCCAGGGCACCGTCCGACACGTTGAAGCGATCTTCCGGGGTCTTCGAGGCCTCCTCCTTGGGCTTGATCTCCACCGCTGACTTGGACCTCTCCAGGGTCCCGCTGCTCTTCTTCCTAACCCGCGGACTCTGCGCCTCCTCGGGCTCTCCACCTTTGTTCCAGACGGCATCCTCCAGGGTGCCCCACTCGTCGGACTTCTTCAGCTTGCGCCGCTCGAAGGTGTCCGTCTGGTCGAGCCTGGTGAGATCCTCGGACGACTCGTTCACGTCCTCTGGAGGCAAAGGAGCCTTCCTCTTCTTCGAGCCTGCCTCCGTCATGTCCAGGCTCTGAGCCCTCTCCAACGTCGCCGAGGATTTGTTCTCGTACCTAGAAAGGTCCCCCAGGCTCGCCGCTTTCCTGTACACGTCGTCTCCGTCGTCCACCTCGGGCACCGGGGTGCGGTGTATCGTGATATCGGCGGGGTTCAGCTCGATGGTCGTGAAGCTGTTCTGCACTTCGCTGTCGGTGTCCGACTCCGAGCCTCTACCTCGCGCCGCGTCGACCTGGTTTTCCAACCGTTGTCGACGAGCCTCGGCTCCGTCACTGACCTCTCGAGCCCTGTTTTCGTGATCCTCGAGAGACTCCGAGTAATCCGCGATACCGTCGACACCGTCATCTCTCTCCGTTCCTCGAGCGGATACAGGACTCCTACCGGGCGAGCTCCCAGACTGGGTGGAACCAGCCCTCGGCGGTGCGGGAGCTTTCCTCTTATTCTTCTGCGGACTCTTCGGGTCTTCCGGGTCGCTCGACTCCTGGGCGATGAGCCTCTGGACGCTCGGCGTCTCGGCGCTGTTTTTTCGGTTCCTGCGAGCAGCCAGGGCGGCGTTGTGCACCTCTGTGGGCACCTCCGAGGGAACCTCGATTGGTACCTCGGTGGCCGTCTCTCCGTGACTCTCCTGACTCCCAGTGGAAGTCTCTGGAAGACCAGCGTCAGGCCGGTCGGGAAGGTCGATACCTTCCAGCTCGTTGCCCTCCACTTTTAATACCCTCTTAGGTTTGAGCCCAGGACCAGGATTCTCGCGCTGTCGCAAGCTCTCCACCGTGACTTTCTTCCCATCGGCCACGGGGCAGGTTTCCACCACCGCTACCGAGTTCCTCCCTCGTTTTTCCATGTCCGTTTTCCTGGAGTGCCGGCGCTCCAGGTTCGCATTGTGCTCGTTCTGGTTCTCGATACGGTGGACAGTGCCGTCCAGGGCGGGCAGGACCTTGATCCCGAATTTATGGTGATTGTTCCTGGCCTCGTCGTGGCGCCGCTCCAGAGTCTGGTTGCCTGGGGTCGACTTGGAGGACCTCAGGGTGGAGTTGGTGGTCGAGTGGCTCGAGCCAAGGGACTCGTTGGGATCGGCAACGAAGAGTCTCTTTGCCGAGCCGCTTTTCCGCGCTTGCGAAAGCTCAGGGATCGACTGGCTCCTGTAGAGGGGATGGCAGATCCTCGTCGGACTTGGACCCACCGTCTTCTTCAGCAACGTCGCCGGCCTCGAGCCCGAACCTCCGCTCTCGACCTCCAGCTCCACGTCGTAGGGCGAGGCGTAACTCAGGATCGTTAGCGCGTCCTCGTACACCATGCTCCTGAAGCTGATCTTCACGCTGGCTATGCGGTCCCCTGATCCGAAACAAAGAATTAAAAGATCATTCCAAGATTAATCTCCCATGAAAGTCGCGTCCGAGGAGTCAATCGTTTATGTAACTTTTCTCCCAACTGAGGGGTACGGAATTTTTCGAAACTTTCCCAAATAAATATGGAGGCCCTAGGAAAGGTCCTGACCCCCATGAAATGTCATTTTCTATACAAAGTAAAAACATAATTACAAAGAAATTAATTAATGAAATTTCATGGATGTCGGGACCCTTCTCAGAGCCTCCATATCCACGTGAGAGGATTTCTATCGGTTCGTTCCACCCAGTTTCAGGAGAAGTTTCATAAGCGACTAACCCTTCGGAAGCCAACCTTACACCCTCCGATTGCCCGTGAAACGCGATAGATGGTTAACTAAAAAATCTATTTTTTTTCTCAAGAACCGACCTGGATGCACGCGTCCCGACTCGGAAGCTGGTCCCCGGTGAAGAAGATCCTTCACGAAGATGCCCTCTCGCATGTTGCCGCAGACGTTGAATCCCAGTCCCGTGAAGTCGCGGCTCCTGAGGCTGACGACGCTCACCCTGGTCGCCCTCGGCTACGGAGGAGCAAATTCCGCCCTTTAATCGGCGTTCTACGCGGAGAGGAAAAACTCATGGCCATGTATAGGACGACTCACCCCGAGGCAGGAGTCATCCAGGGTGCGCCTCTTGTCGGCGCGGTTCGCGGAGCCGAGGCCCAAGGAGGACCAAGGGCTGGACCATCTCGTGGAGTCCTTAGCAGGAGTGTCCGTAGGGGTTAAGGACACCGGCCTCTCCAGGCTTCGTCCTACCGCCGGCGTGGGGTCCTTGAAGCAGGGATTGTCGAAGGCATAGGCGTCCTCCACGATTTCGGGGTCCGTCACCAGCACCAGGTGTTTACCTGCAAGGACCAACGACCTCGTCAGACTTACCGAGGGGATTATCCTTTCATTTCTCGGCGTTGCAGGGATTTAAGAAAACAAAAAAATAACCATAAATAGGGAAATCACCGATAGCCGACCTTCGTATCGCCCGACACCTCTGTTAGGCGTAACTCGAGTCGGCTCTTCCTTCTCGAGCGTGTACCTACGATTTACCGTCGTGTACTTTTCGTTTCCTTCTCGAGGCCTCGCGCATGCGATCGGCTCATCGAAGCTCGCGCTCGCCTAGGCATCGCTCCGCCTGTTTTTCACCTATGCAATTCGCTCCTAGAAAAACGTTTCGCAACGGAAACTGCCGACTCGTCCCGGCGACGTCTGCTGAGCCTTGAGGCCCGGTCGGAGCGTAAAAGGCGAATGAGATCTCGAGGACGTCTTGCCCGCGGCAAGAGCCTCGTTTAAGGGGATTCCGCGGTTGAAAAAGGACGGCCGTTTCGACGAAAGGTGCGATTTCCCGTGTCGCTTACCCCCCCTCGCAAAAAGTGGGGAAAATCAGCGAGCGCGGTTTCCCGAGTAAAGGAGGATCCTCGGAGGAGCCTTGAACGAGGGGAGGGTCGATGCCGATGATAACGCGCTCCCTGGACCGTCAGTAAATATTCACGAAATTCGCGCACTTATAGTACGTAAGGGTCATGGTGAAATTAGAAATTTCGCTATTAAGGTTGTAAATGTGAATCGACCTGGCTTTGATATAAATGTCTAGATAAATTTACACTATTTCAATATCCCGTTGAAATTCTGCAGGGAAATCAATACATTTCTGTTCTAATCTAAACTCGTGCACTAAACTAGAATTTACAAAATGTTGTAAGTTTCGTTTGAAAATGTGTTAGAATAATGGTATACCAGGCCCAAATGAAGCTTCCGGCGAAAGTGTAAAGTTACGATATATTTTTTTTTTTAACAGGGTACCTAAATATCTCTATTTGTTCAGGGAGATGATATCCGCACGTGCGTGATTTTTAAGGCGAATAACATCTCGAGAACTTCTTGCCCAAGAGTCTCGTTTAACCCTTTCGCTCCTAAGGTCGGCTATAGCTGACCTCTACAAAACAACCCCCAGAGCAAAGGGACACCTGGAGTCACAATATGTACACATGTACATTTCTGTTCTAATCTAAACTCGTGCACTAAACTAGAATTTACGAAATGTTGTAAGTTTCGTTTGAAAATGTGTTAGAATAATGGTATACCAGGCCTAAATGAAGCTTCTGGAGAAAGTGTAGTTACGATATATTTTTTTTTTTAACAGGGTACCTAAATATCTCTATTTGTTCAGGGAGATGGTATCCGCACGTGCGTGATTTTTAAGGCGAATAACATCTCGAGACTTCTTACCCAAGAGTCTCGTTTAACCCTTTCACTCCTAAGGTCGGCTATAGCTGACCTCCACAAAACAACCCCCAGAGCAAACGACACCTGTAGTCGCAATATGTACACACGAGACGCAATGTTCCGTTCAGGGACGGATAGCGAAAGGGTTAAAGGTATTCCGCATCCAAAAAAGGACGACCGCTTAGATGAAAGGTGTGACTTTCCTGCGTCGCTCGTCCCCTTTGCAAAGAGGTAAAAAAAGAAAACCAGCGAGTACCGTTTCAAAGACATGGAAGGATCTCTTCGAAGGATCCTCGAACTAGGCGAGGTCGTTGCCGATGGTAACGCGCTCCTACGTACTCGAGCCGTACGTACGTACCCACGTACCTCTGGGTGTACTTATCATTGCCGGGAGGACGATACCCGAGGTGGAGGCGAGGCCATGTTTGGACTGCGAATCGACAGGAAGGAAACGCATTCTTCGCAACGCTCACGGTGTACCGCTATATCTGTATCTATCCACGACTTGTCCATTACCGGCGCACGGTTGTACATGCGGAGTATGTACATAGGTACATACACGCGGAGAAACACGGGTTAGGTGCTCGTAGAGCACGCGGACGCGTGTCCGCGCGTGCGAGATCCGCGCGTATGTACTCGGGGATCTCTACGCCGGTCGGTGATAGGGCGAATTACGCAATTGCTCGCAGGAGACGAGTACCTGGAATGTTCTAAATCGACCACGAGGACATGGCGCAAAAACCGGGAGATGCGATCGCCCGGTACATTACTTTCAATCACGATCCCTTGATTGTTATTGCTACGTGCGCGCGAGCGAAAAGTCCTCGATAAGTCATCCGCGAGGACTAGAGTCTTGTGCAATGCTTCTCAAAACTATGAAAAAGTACCCGCGACAAGGAGTCCCGGAGTTCTTGCGACACCTTTACGACCCGATTGTGCAAGACGCTCTTCCGACCTCTCCCGTCGTTAGTTTAGTTATCGAGCGTGGCGTTAACTCTTTATCATGCGCGCATGCCATCGGACGAATTTCCTCGCGAAAGAAGAAAAAAAAAAATTACTAACGAGCTAATCGATAAAGTATACTCGCAAGGACGAGCGGCGCGACTTCGACGCAGGACGATTTGGGACTTAACGACACGTGGCATTCGGGGGATAACCCGCCTCTAATCTCCATTCGATGATTTCGCGGTGGCCTTCCATCCGAGCAATCCGTGAATATTTAAGCCCCCGGGCGAGGTTGCGACGTCGTTTCTGGAATCCGGCTGCGTCTTCCGTTCGCATCCTCCGAGCATCCTTTTGATCCCGCGTATGCCATAGACTGTTTACCCGAAAACTAAAAAACAATTAAAATTCAGAAACCGCTTGAAGGAAACAATTCATCATTTCAGTTCCATCCAGCCATTCAATGTCGCGTGGATTCGAAATTTCGGGACCGAGGACATTTTCGAGATGCCGAAAAGGTGCGATGACCGCCAAAGGTGGTCCCGAGGGACGAATTCAGAATTTCAGAGCTCCAGCTTCTCTCGGCCTCGCTCGGCGAAGGTTCTCGATTTTAATTTTCCGACGTTGAAGAAACCCGACACCCCGCGAAGATAGGGCCAAGGAACGTCTTTGGAATTCCAAGAGCTGAAAGGTTCCCTTGAATCCCATGACCTTATCACGGGTTTTGGACGTCAAGGAGACCCTCCAACTTCCTAAGGCAATCCCGAAGAACGTCCCCAAAATCCCAGAAAAATCCCCTAGACCCATCTTTTCGATTTAAAATGGTCGATACCAAAGAGTCAAGACAACCCGCGAAAACGATTAAAATAATAAATAAATTCCCGAAATTCCAAGGAGAACCTAAAATCCTCCATGGCATCTCTCGGCGGAGCTTTTCGATTTTCAATTTCCGACGTCAAAACAGACCCGACGACCCGCGAGAACGACTCCGTGGGGTCTTCGCGAGAATTTCAAAGAATGCTCCAATTTTTCCCCGGCGTCGGTCGCCGGGTGTTTTTGTGATTTATTTACGAAAACAATCGTCACCGTCGCCACTCGCTCTACGCCTCTGCAGGTGACGCCAATGCGCGCATACCATGGGCACCAAGGTGAGCTGGCTCGTTCCCTCCACCCTGCGCCTTCTTCGCCATAAGCTACGAGTCGTGATTCTCTCGCCCCACCCCGGCAGCGTTGCGTATATATGTACCGGCGTACCAGAGTACCTGCGTACCTCCGTACCTACGTACCTGCGCAACTCCATCCCTACGTACCTCCGTACCTCCGTCCCCTCTGCACACACGAAAGCATCCCCTACACCCCCTCGATCCCTTCATCTCCGTCTCCAAATACAGGTCCCCCCAGATTACAGATAGGAAACCCCCCACAACCCCATAAATTAATCCCGAAAATGTTCCGCGACACCGACGTCACAAAGATGGGGAGGGGGATTTATTCGGGCGAAAGTTCCCCACGTTTGGTCCAGTCAAGGTCGCGATCGTCATCTAGCAAAATCCCGCGGATTTCATGCGTCCGTTCGTTCGCGAAGGCCGGGTCCGACAACGTGTAATCAACCGTCGGTTTAATTAGCCGCTCTCTTAAGATACCGCGAGCCGATCTCTCGCAGTTTGTCCGGAGAAACGTCGAGGCCCGATCGGCTCGGGTCTCGGATGTCCCGCGAGCGATTAACCCGGCTACTTAATTCCTCCGATCGACGGCTCGCGGAGGCGAAGACACGTGTTGGCATAGAGTTAGATCGGTAAACGTCTCCGAGTCGGATTTAAAACCGGGGAATAAGATCCCCACGGTGGGTCGCGTCCCTCCACGCCGAGAAATCCGATCGCAGACACCTCGAAGGTAACGGGCCTAATATCGAGAGACAACCGTGCATTTACTCCCGGTGGATTAGTCACGTGTAACGCGACGCACGAGACCGGGAAATGGTAAAGAGGTACGCGGTGGAACGATTTCATTAGCATGGAGAGATGGGCTTTTTTCCTGTTCCGAGATTTCATTCGATTATCCGAGGGGTTAATAGGTTTTATGCTTATTACAGGAGCGTATCTCGACCACCCAGGACATATTTGTCACCTGAATCTTCGTAGTTAGAGATAAGCGGGGGCTCGAGATGGAGTCGTCGAAATATGTACTACAAATAGGGTACAAAGGCATCCGTAGTATTATATAAAGAGGGGAGTATATCATCTATGGGCGTGATCAATTTTAAATCCGAGTCGATTTTTATTGGACTTTTACAGATACCTTCTGTATAGAATGTATAGAGGACGTAGGCTTTGTTCCATTACTCCATCGAATCGGGGAGTTTATTGACGAAATAGAAACAATATCAATTGATTCCATTGTTATCGTGGTCATAGGATGGAACGGCTCGCGGAATTGTTGGCGTCCCACCCCTGGCTCGGCAATGGAATGAAAGAAATGTTACCATAAAGTATTGTTCGGCGCAATCGAGATTGTACAGAAAAAAAAAAGAAAAAAAAACATCATGCGAAACGGACTGGACTAAGAGGTGTTATGAAAATAATGCATCAAAAGTGGAGTATCGAAAAATCCTAAATTGTTTGGTCAAAATTGAGTGTGAGATATGGCGTATTAATAGTAAGTATCGGAAAACAGTGGTCCAATAATT